TACCGATCAAACTTATCCCTGTAAGTAGGCTTCCCCTATGAAAGTGTATGGGCTCACATCGGACTGAATTTAAGATATTGTTCAAATAAAGAGTTAAGATGGTTTTGTGAAATGAGATTAGTTAAGTGGGCTAACATGCAATGTAAGGTCCAGTGAAGATTCAAATCCAAATTGTTTATGAATACCACTGTAATTCATAAATAAAGGAGTTATCAGCGAAAGATTGCATATAAACCATAGAAATAGTCAATTCGTTAAACAAATAATCTGTTCATTAGAATCGCGGATAACATATCACTTGTTTGCCTACTTTTATGGCATTCAGTGTCTATTATTCACTATAAATATCACATATATTAGAGACACACCATCAGCACAGGGGGTGAGCCGTTAGGAAAGTCATTAAATTAACACAATTTTATCACTACATCTAATTTTGTGAAATATTAGGGTTGAGGGTATCCCTGGACTCAACCTAAAGTCAATAATAGATTGATTGGAATTATTCAATTTAATGACAATTATATTTCAATTCATTTATTTTTACAATGTGACACATTTTTATATTGATTTACAATATATCATAATACGGTATACCTGAATATATGCCTACATAATATTATAATATTTATTATTGCAGTATATTTTGATTTATATTTAGTGTTATCTAATAGATTTATGAATAATGTTTGAGAAATATTTGTTATGGACATATACAGTATCATTTTATAGAGTCAATGTAATTAGTTTGAATCAGAAATTTAAAAGTTAACTGTTTCGAAGGAACTATCTATTTTATGATATCAAATTATTCAGTGTACATTTATATTAATCAATAATAAAGAATTTATTATTTAAAGAATACTGTATATATAATTATAGATTAAGGTCTATCAATTAATCTAAATATTGTGTGTCCCATTTGATCTGAACTACTTTAAATTAAAATTAAAAATATTTACAATTATTTTATGTTAACTAAAAGTACACAAAAATGTTGGAATTTTATTAATATTTTGTGTCCAATTTACGGAACATTCGTAAAATTCATACCCTGGTCATAATTATAGTTTTACTGCATGCATGTCTGATTTTTATTATCAACAATTATTATTCTTTTGTGAATGTTCTTACTGTTAGTATTCATAAATGTCAACATGTTTTCAATTCTATATTAAAAGTCAATTGATCTCTGGGTTCATTAAATGAAAGTTTATTTTATTATTGCAATTCATTGTCTTGATACTGAATAAATAGTCTAAATGATAATTATAAATAAACAAAAACCTTTGAAACATTCAATAAACTCGTTAATAATAGGTTCAAGAATCTAGTGATAAGAATAAATAAAGAATTTGTTAAATAAATGTAGTTATTTAAAAATATTATTAGTTTTAAGCGATATAAGTCATGATTTTTTTATTAAAACATTAAAACTGTAAGAATGTAATCAATGATTACTAATCATAATATATTTAATATTCTGTAAATTTTGTGGAAATATATTAAAATTATGATTAATTGTTTAATAATTTGCTATTTATTCGAAGGACATTGAAATCTATTATCAGTTAATGTCTTAAAAATTCAAAATTTCAATAATACAGTAATTCATAATACTGTATCTGACAAAATAACAAATAACTTCATAAAACATAATTAAAATTCACCATAAAACTGTTTGTTTAATAGAATAAGTTTAAAATATCGTTAATTCTAGACATTATTCGACATTTTTAAAATGACATTTCTATAATATATTTCCCAGAATCATGAGAACCGGCTTATAGTATACATTACTAAGTTATACAAAATGTTTTATAATTAATTACTATTTGACAAAAACACTTACGTAATCGCCTCTCAGTATATGTGCACCGAATGAGAGAGAGAGAGAGAGAGAGAGAGAGAGAGAGAGCACAGGATATTAGATCACATCCTCGTATAAAAACTCATAGCATTTAAGAATAAACTTCACAAAAGTTTTTAGACTATTGTAAGCGATAATGAATTCAACAAAAGTGTCAATACTTTTGTTTATCATTGGTTTGGTTGCGAATGAAGCGATCGGTTACGAAGTGAACGGCTTTTGCGGTCGACCAGAAAAGCCGTTTCAATCGCGACTAAAACCAGATAAGGCCCGGTATGCTGAGGGAGAGGTCGTAACCTTCCAGTGCGACCAATACTGGAATTACTTGCAAACAAAACAGTGTGTTAGAGGCGAATGGATTGGTGATCAGTTTAGATGCGGTATATTATTATTGATAATTGAATTATAATTTATAGAGATATTTAGTGTTTATAAAATTTTACTAATATTAATATTTTAATACATTAGCTTATTAAATGTGAGATTAATGTATGTTTCAAAAGGCAAAGCCATTGCTGACAACGACTTGAATTACGTGAGAGTGGAGGACATCACCGAAGAGACACCAAATGTGTTGTTTGACACCAATATAACCCTCACTCCGGACTACAAGTTTGCCAACTCTTTCCTGTCGAGTCGATGTGACACTAAGTTTGAGGTGACAACCGATCGCCGCATCCGTTGGACACTCGGACTCCAACGACCCGTCTCTCTGCCATTCTTTCGCATTAACTTTCATTTGCTGAACGTATCGGTCGATGAGTCGCTGCAAATCAATTTAACGGCCGACGCCCGGGTCAGTCCCTACAGAACCTGTCGCCATGTGTTCAGGGATTTAAAGAGGTTGTGGAGATTTGGCACCAAAGTTGAGCTCAACTTTGAGTGCGACGCCAACTCTGTGGGCGATGCCGTGGAGGACGAGAAGAGTCCGACAAATGAGATCATAATCGAGACCCAGAGCTCCAAAGAGATCGCCTATAAGCTAATAATGGTGCTCTTGGCTCAGGGATACGATATCGGCGATGATAGGCAAGCAGTTTGTGGCGAACCGGAGGAGCATTACGGACTCGATATGCGGATCCTGTGGCCAAATATAAACTATTCAATTCAGTGTTCAGGGGACTGGGAGTACGTGTCCTACACTAATCCAGATTTACCAGGTACTTCAAAGTTCTTATCATTTTATACTTGTTTTTAAATAGTTTTCTTAAATCTGATGGTTAGACACAACCATCCATAAGAGGCAATGTGTTTATGACATGCGATGGAACGGCACATACCCTTCATGTGTACCCAAAACGGTTTGTCCCATACCTGAAGAGGAGAACAACCAAATTAATCCTGAATTCAAAACCGTTCGCTTCAATGATGTCTTTTACTTCAATCAAACCAAATGGTATGCCATCGATGGCACGACCGTTGAGTACCAGTGCAATAGTGCCCTAACTCAGGTCCTGTTAGGCGATGCCATACATGTGTGCAAAAATGGTCAATGGGTGGGCACTGAACCCAATTGCTTCGGTATGTAGTTTAATATTTTAGGTTTAATAAAATTAGTAAAATACTTAATATTTAGAAATTATTTGATTATTATTTAAATGTTTTGGTTTTTCCATAGATTTGTCTGAATTGAAAGTCAGAAAAGTGAAGAATAGGGCTTCAGATGAGTCTTCAAACGGATTGTCTGAAAACTAGTTTTTTGTGACATATTATTCAAAGT